CGGTCGTGGTTGCGCAGCCAAGTCGCGTGCTCCGCCTTCTGCTCGCGGTGGAGGAAGCAGACCGCCTGTGCGACGGTGGCGAGCCGGCCCGCCTTCTCGGCGTTCGCGAGCGCGCCCTCCGACTTTGGGTAGACGAAGGAGTTGTACGCGCGGAACGCGGGAGAGCCACGGTGGTCGGCCGACTCGAGCAGCGCAGCGAGCTCGTCGCCAGAGAGACCGCGCACGGCCAGCTCGGCATCGAGAGCCACACGGCGGGCGCGGGCGCCGACGTGGAAGCTCTCCGCCTCCTCTGCAAAGGTCGAGCGGCTGTCGCTGCAGCACGGCCCACCGCGGCGCCGCTGCCAGCCGCAGTCACCACCAATTGGGCGACCGCCGATGAGCCAGGCGGCTGATACTGTCAACGCCGCGAGTGCCATGAGTAATGCGTGCTCGCGGGGCTGCGGGCGAGCCGGGCTGCCGCCAGTAAGAAGCTTGAGCTTGCAACGGCCTTGGCGGGACCGCCTCGAACGCGAGGCGCGCGTCGACGACTCGTGACCGCCTGGGTTCCAACTATTTGCGGGGCTTGGTCCACAAAACGCGGCACCGCACTGCAGAGCGCCGCCCTCTCGCGGCTCTCGAGAGCGAGTTTTCGCCAGACAGCCACACGTCCATTATGGCGCGCGTTCTCGCCGGACGGACGTTCGCCGGCAGGCCATGAGGGCATCTGCCGGCGCTCGTCTGCCAAAGTGGCGCCAGAGTGGAGAGCTGGACTGCTGGAGGCTGCATATTCAACTGGCCAAACCGGCCATCGCGCGGTCTACCTTTCGGCGGCTGAAAAAGGGGTAGACGCGTCTACCGCGGTCTACCTACCAAGTCTACCGGTAGACTGCAGTCGTAGGTTCATTACGGTCTACCGGTAGACTGCGGTAGACTGCCGGTAGACTCGTCTACCAAATGGTCTACCGTCTACCCCAGTCTACCCCAGTCTACCGGTAGACGGTAGACGGGCCACCCCTCAGGGCTGGGTCAGGGCTGGGTACCCTCTCAAAAAAGAAATCCCGAGATTGCGCGGCGCGGCCCGAGGCGAGGTGGATGGGCTGGGAGCGAGGGGGCGGAAGTGTGCAGTGCGGTAGATGGTCAGTCGAGGCGCGTGAGCCGGACTTGTGGGCCGGACCACCCAAGTCCTTTACTCTGCGTTGTTGAGCCAGGACTCAACATACTCGTTCTGTCGCCGTCCCAAACTGTCACTCCCCTTTCTCCCGGCCGGGGTGGGGCGCGCGCGGGGGCGGCGGGTGTGCGGGATGTCTGTGGGCCCGAGAGCGATATGCCATGTCCGCCTTGCGTTTGTTTCATAACATCGAAGGCTAAGTACAAATAAATAAATTTTTCTTTTCTTTTGAGAGCAGGACGCCGGGTTTGTCTTGTATGTGCGTGTCGGGCCGGGGTGTGAGCGAGGGGCAGAAGGGGCGGGGGCGTGCGGGGCAGAGGCCCAACGTCGGGCGGCTTGTCGGGGTCCGGAGAATTCGAGGGGGGAACGAGGAGGGGGGAATGGGCGGTCGGCGTCGGGGTAGAAGCAACAGGGCGTACGGGGTAGCCGTCACTTTCCTGCCTCAAAAGGGCGGGGCTGTCCCGGAAAGTGAGAAACGCCGGGCAGCGTGGCGCACAACTGAACCCTCCCATACGTGTTTGGGCTCCTCCTTTGCTGTCCCATCTCCTCATCTCTTTCCCGCCTGGGCGGGGCAGTACCAGTAGGCGGGCGCGTGGTGCGGCGTGGCGTGTGCGTGTGTGCGACTGCAACAAAGGACCGCTCGCAAGGGACCATTGGGTTTGTACTATAAACAACGAAGGCGCTCTCAAAAGAATTTAAACAACTGAGCTCTATCACACACAAAAGAAATACATGGCTCCCGAAATAGCGAGCTCTTCTAGGCGTTGGTCTTCCGCCTCCAGCGCCGCCGTGGACTCCTTGTCTTCCGCTTCTTTGGGACCGCTGGCGTTTGTCGCCCCCGAACGACACATGCCGCCTAGTCTCCCGAACGACATTGCGCAGCAGCTGTACAGTCTGTCACGGGATCACACCCTCGCACTGTGTGGGCTCGCGGAGCTCGTGCACAACGCTGCTGATGCCGATGCGCAGTGCTTGGATATTGCGCTAAGCCGTGCAACGAAGGCCGGCCACCAAGAGGAGCATTTGCTGAACTTTGTCGATAACGGTTTCGGGATGGAGCCACCGGATGTCATGAAAATGTTGACGCTCGGAAATGCAAAGCCCCGCGCGACGGGCGAGATTGGCAAGTGGGGCATGGGCTTCAAGAGCGGGACGCTCCGCAATGCGAACGGGGCGGTTGTGTTCACACGAGCAGACGCGAGCGGAGTTATGACCATCGCGCTCTTCAGCAAAGCCTTTTGCCTCGATCAGCTGCAGCCGGGCAAGCTGGGCCCACAGGAGGCGCTCGCGCATCCGATCCTTTCCTTCAGCCCGAACATGGAGGTGATCGTCGCGCAGGAGGATCTGACGGTGGCGCAGCAAGCGGTAGCCGGCGCGGCGGCGGGCCGGGGGGGGGCTGAGGAAGAGGCCTACCAAACCGCGTACGGAAAGGCGCGTGAACGCGGCGTCGCGGTCGCTGAGGCGGCGGGCGAGGCGGCGGCGGCGGCGGTGCGCGGCGGCGGGTCGCCGGAGCAGGCGGCGACGGCTGGCGCTACGGCAGCCGCGGCGGCAGCAGGCGCGGCGGCGGCGGCAGCAGCGGCCGTGGCTGACCGCTTTTGGAGCGCCTTTGACTCGTATGCTCCCCTGACTCGGCGCGAGGCGTACAAAATCCTTGCCTCATTGCCAACAGTGGCCAGAAACCTCGAAGGCGACTCATCCGCTCGCGTCCCGTTAGGATTATGAGCGCCCTCACCTTCTATCCGCCACCGTAGGGCGAGTGAGCGGAACGCACATCGTCCTCTTCGGCCTCAGCGACGAGGAAGGGCAACTGCCATTCGAGTTCACTTTTGAGGACAGCAGCCGCAGCAAGCTCCCGTCGGGGGTCTCCCCATTGCCGGTGATCCTTTCGATCTGCAAATCCATCACGGGAGTGGACGTCGACCCCGACGCGGCGCTCACTGGCCAATTCCCCTACGGGCAACTGCTTTCGCGCCTGAAGGAGAAGACCGGCTTCACTTTGTCAGAGTCACTCCTTTTGGACTACCCGACGGCACGCCAGCTCGCCAGCTACATCCAGAAGCCTGCGCCCGACCTCGTCATCAGGACGGTGCGAGACACGCACGGAGGAAACGGGCGAAAGCCTTGCCGTGGCATGTCACGCGCTCGGTATCCGGTCGACTACTCGTTCCGAGCGTTGCTTGAAATGATGTTCATGGCGCCGACGATGACGATCTACTTGCGCACAAACGCCGCGCAGCCAGTCAGCTGGGCGAGGCTCAAGGCGGTGCAGCAGCTTGCGGGTGCCAGCCGATTCGAGCGAGAGCGGACGATCGTGCGCTTGTCTCCCGAATCGGGTCCTGATCGGATACCGCTGCAGTTGCTGCTCGGGTACAGCAAGGAGGAGGCAGTGCATCAGCGCAGCGGGATTCACCTGTACTGGAACAACGTGCTGATCATCCCCTACTTCCTTCAGTTTCCGATCAAGGCGCACGGCATTGTGGGCGTGGCCAACGTCGACTTTCTCTCCGCCAACCGTCAAAAGGAGGACTTCGCGCATGCCCCTCAGGGCAGCATTGATTTCGGCGATCGCTGGTCGAAATGGCTGGAGGCGACCATCCGGGAGGTCGAAAAGTACCATGACCACCTGTTTGAGTCGACGGGCGAGAACACGTTCGCGCTCAGGGCGCATGTCAGCTCCGAGCAGCTTGACGCGGAGAAGGTCAACTGGGCGATGTGTGAGCAATGCAGCATCTGGCGCCGGCTACGGGCAGGCACGCCAGCACTCCGCGATGACGAGAGGTGGCAGTGCGGCGCGCGTGGCGCCGAGGATGCTCGCTGCTGGGGGAGGAGACCGGCCGATGATTTTGACGCGGCCCGCGAGGTGACCACCGACGCGGCGTCGCACGGCGAGAGCCTGATGCCGGGCACCAGCGCGCAGCCAACTACCGTTCAGCAAACGCCGAGTGATCGCCTCCGGCGAAACGAGTGGTTTGTGTGCGTGCTGACAGTGCCGCCAGCAGGTCAGCTGGATAAGCTGGCCTTCTCGCCCCCTGACTTCTGGACGAGCTATGTGCGCGACTTGTCGCAGAGTCAGATGGTCATGCCCGTTGCGTGCCGCGTGGTGATGGTCTCTGCCGGCATCACTGGCTCACTCGAGCTGGTCGTGAGCCAGATGAGCTCTTGCACCCTTGAGTGCTTTACCTTGCAGGACTCGCCCGCGCTCGGACAGTGGCTGCGCCGCGGCAAGGTGAATCTGCAAGGCTTGGACGCACCCACAGTCCGGCTACTGGAGAGCCGACTCACGCTGACGATGCCAATGTCTCGCAACGGTGGTGTCCATGCCATGGACGCCAAGGATGTGGAGAAGCTCCAACTGCGCTTGGGGGAGTGCGAGACCAAGCGATTGGAGCTCCTGCAGCAGCAGGAGGCCCATTCGGAGGAGCGGCACGCGGAGGCGGCAGAGCGCGTGGGCGGCGGCGCGGCGTCCGAGCACACCCTCGCGGAGCGGACGGCCGCTGAGCGCACCTACGCGGACGAGCTGGAGCGGCGGATAGGGTGGCGTGAGCTTGAGGCGGCGCCAGGCGAGTACGGTGAGGGCGCGACCTCGAAAGTGTACAAGTACATGTGGCGCGCTACCAAGGAAGATGGCACGCGCGCGGAGCCGATCGAGGTCGCCGTGAAGCAGTTCACCATGATCGCACAGGAGGGTTGGGCCTCCGATCGCGGGCTCGGCCTCAAACGCGAGCTCTGGCTTGCCCGCACGTGCTCTGGCTTCAACCACGTCAACTCTCTGCTCGGCATCTCTTTCATAGACGACGACATATCACCGCAAAATCTGAGCCTGATCTACAAATGGCGCGGTGACCAAAAGCCGATGACTCTGTCGCGGCTCATCGAGTCCAGCTCAGCGGGGCCAGGTGCTGCGCGCGAGAATATGATGCTCTCTATTCTGCGGCAAGTCGCAGAGGCGCTGGAGGCGCTTCACCAGCACACTCCCGCCATTGTCCACCGCGATCTCAAGCCATCGAATATCTTGCTAAAGCGTGACACCAGCAGCGAAGAGGTGCGCTACCACGTCTTCTTGTGCGACTTCGGCTCGGCAAAGGCGGTGAAGTCGGACACCGCCGATTTCTCCAACCTAACGGGTGCCGCGGGGACTCGCGTGTACCAGGCGCCTGAGATTGGCTCGCAAGCGCGCGTCACGCACAAGTGCGACGTCTACAGCTTCGGCGTGACTGCGTTCCAGCTCTTTGCCGGAGAGTCGGGTCTAGACGCGTTGGACCGCAGGCTGAAGGACACTACTCCGACATCGATGCTTCCGTGCTCAGATGATGCCCGGAGACTAATCAACCGCTGCATGAATCGCGATCGTCCGGATGCGAGGCCCGACTTCACGGAGATCAAGCGCAGCTTGCGGGATATGCTGCAGCGCCGGTCTTCCAATGCTGCCGACCCCGGGCGAAGTGACATCGAGTTCATTCGCAGCTCCACCAAAACGACTATCGTGTACCGCGTGCTCAATGACACCAAGTTCACCCGGGACATCGTATGCGAGGGGCTGAAGGCTGCCGACCCTTTCAGCGACGTGTCGGCTGTCAACCACGTGAAGGGCGACAAAGGCGCGGGCAAGTCGCGCTTCATATCGACGACATATTCGCCGGAGTGGGCTCTTTGGTACTGGGCAAGGCAGCGCGCGATCGAGCACGAGACTGCCCTGATCGTAAAGATCGACCTCGGGAAGCTGCCCGACACCTGCAAGGTGCATTGCCTCACTAACCCCGACACGCGGCGCAGCCTCGGATTCAATCGCGAGCCGGGGTCGATTGTGCCTGGCAACTTCGCCTTCAATGCGTTCGAGGTGTTGCTCGAACCGGATCCGTCGGAGCCTGTTCCGCGTGCTGCGATTGTCGAAGTCTACCGCTTGCGCGACCTGCCGCTCACCGACAACCTTCGACTCTTTGCCAGGCTGGACGAGGGTCGACGCGATGGCAAGTACATGTCTTTCAACGATTGGCAGAGCCACCTGGCGCAGTTCGGCCGAGCTGGGAGCAGCTACACACCCATCACAGTGCTCCATGCGTGCCGTCTTTCGCCCGCTGATGTCCCGACCTCGCCCGGCACTGACGCTGCGGTTGAGATCACGAGAGGCATTCCGTCGGTGAGCGACCGCGCCACGATCTGGGCCGGGAGCACGGCCTGCCTCAGCAGGGCATGGCTGACCAAGAATAACATCAGTGCCGTGCTGCATTGCCGCCCCGCAAAGGTCGGCTGCGCACCACAGCTTGCAGTGACGGTGCAGCTCAAGACGATCGCTCTCGTCGACAGCAGCGACCAGCACTGCAAGTTCGACGGCATGGTCACGGCCAGCAGATTCTTCAGCGCGAGAAGCCCCGCTCTGATGGAAGCCATGGTGTGGCTCAGCGAGCTGGTGCTTGCTAAGAAGAACGTGCTGATCTGCAGCACCACGGGCCGGAATCGTGCCCTCTCTGTCGGGCATGTCTTCCTGCTGCTGGTCAAAAAAGAGCAGACCCAGCAAGCGGTCTCCAGTGGGTTGCTCGAGTCCAATCACTTAGAGCCTGCTTTCCGCATTGCTTTCAACTCTCTCGTGGCGAATTTCAAGTCCTTCAAGAAGGAGTACCGAGTCATGTGGGACGCCGCCCAGGCCGCTGCGAAGGCCGCCAAGGGTGCGGCGAAGTCGCCTCCTCCGCGGGGAGATGCGATGCCGCCGCCAGCCCCGCCTCCTCCGCCTCCTCCGCCTCCTCCGCCTCCTCCGCCTCCTCCACTGCTTCCGTCTCCGCTGGCGAGTCTCGGCGAAGAGCCACCAGATAGCGGAGCTTTGCGTCAGAAGGCGGAGCAGCTCGTGGCCGGTGCGGCGGGCGACGCGATGGGGCTGCCAGCCTTCACCCACGGCGTGAACGCGACCGACGCTGCCGATCTGGATCGTTTGGGATCGATGGACTCTCAGCTATACTACTTTTCATGGAAGCTAGAGGGGACTCGTTGCGCTCTGCTGGTCGACGATGGGCGTTCCTATCTTCTCAGCGACAACTACGTTTGCATGCTGCCCGAGATTTCGTGGGGGTCAAAGATTGTTGCTGTGAAGTCGCTCCTTGTGCACGGTGACCTCGTCGCCACTGGCAATGGCAAGGCATTCTATGCGTACGAACTCTTGTGCTTTCGAGGCTCGTGGACATCTCGAGGGCAGCAAGAGGATGTTGCTCGCGATGCGCACGACAGCTTTGATCGCCGTGCTGAGGCCATCTCCAAGGTACTTTATCGCGAGGACTCGGCGGCCGTGACGGCGGGCGAGCTGCGCATCCTGGCGAAGCCTCGTGCCAAGCTCAAGTATGCTCAAAGCCTATCGCAGTTCCTACGCGAGCATCCGGCGCCTGCTGAATCTGTGGGATACGTCCTTTATCCCGATGGTGCCTTCGTGCGGGGAACCAATCCGAATATCATCGACTGGTGTGGTCCTTCCAATGCGCTGGAACATTGGGTATCTCAACACAGGGCCCGACTGCCTAATGTGGCAACGCCTGCCGCCGCCCGCGGCGCCGGCGACGGGGGCCGTGGCGGCAGCGGCGGCAGCGGCGGCGGCAGCAGCGGGGGCCGTGGCGGCGGCGGCGGTGGTGGTGGCGGCGGCGGGGGCGACCTTCCTACAGCGCCCGCGGCCAGGCCTGCCACTGCTCTCGGGAGTGCCGCCCCTGCCTCGCAGTCGCAGTCGCGATCAACGCCAGCCGCCAGGTTCGCCGCAGCTGCCCCCGTGGTGGCTAGCCCCAGTGCGCCGGCCGCGAGGCCCAGGCCTACCGCTCTCGATGGGAGGCCGGCCAAGATGCCGCGCAGCTCGTCTGGAGCTGGGCCGTCGGTCAGCTCCGCAGTTGCTGCAGACTCGGGAGCCGTCGGCCCTGCGGCGGGCGTCGACCCTTCCTCTGCATCTGAGCCGCCGCGGAAGCGGATGCAGCGAGTCGTTGTCGACTCTGACGAGGAGGACGATGCAACCCCCGGCTTCCGAAGAATCCCAATGGCCGACGAGTGCGGTGTTAACGGCTGTCCATTAGCCCGCGGGCACCCCGGTCCATGCGCTATTGATCTTGGGCAAGGGCGCTCTGGTCGAGGGAAAGCGCCGGTGTCCTACGCGGAACCTGCCAACGAATACGAAGGGACCCACCTTGGCGATATCCCTTTGATGGTTGGAGCGGACAGGCCACCCGCGGGCGCACCGCCCAACCTGCCCCTGACCTCGCTGGTTCGCGGGGATCGCGTGCGCTGCCGCAAGGGCAGCCACAAGGGAAAATTCGGCGTGATTGACAGCGTGAAGGACGGCAAGGTCAGGGTCAAGTTTGATCCCATACCCCCGTCTGCGACGGGAGAAGTATCGAAATTGCAGCTTGCGGATAAATTCGAGAAAATGTAGATTACTAGCACGTAGGAAGGTTTAGAAGTGCTCGACGCCTTTCCAGCATGTGAATGTACGATGTATCTAGAAAATATGATCGTATAGAGCCGTTCAGTCGCGCGATGGAGGCGACCATCCCCCCCATGCCATCCCCCTCCCGCTAGCATCTCGAAAGAGCTGGGACAGTGACCCTCCCGACCGCGCGCGCCATTCCCATCTATTTCCGAATCACAGACTCAGGTTTGACTCTTGCGTATCTCCGCACCGGATTGAATGATTTTCTACGAGACAGCGCGCAGAAGATCAACGAGGCTTATCTCCATCCGGAGAGTCCAACGGCGGGTCCCGGGACAGGGACACTACATCTACAACAAGGAGGAGGCGCAGCGCGCGAGCGAGCGGAGGCCATGCGTCGGGGCATCCGAGCGCGCTGACCCACGCCAGCAGCAGCAGCAGCAGGGGCGGGAGCTGCGCAATCAGCGCGCAGCGTGCCGCCGGGAGGAGCGCCTGTCTCCAGCCGGGCGCAAGGAAGGCGAGCTCCTACAGAGGCGAGGCTCCGAGCGCGGTGAAGAGGCGAGGGGCGAACAGAGCGCCGTGGCGACTGCGAGGTGAGCGGCGCTCTCTCCTTTCCGCTCGCCCCCCTCTGTCTCTGCGCGCTTTTCACTGTCTCTCTCTCTCATCAGTGAGCATGAGTTGATGAGTTCCCTGTGTGTGGGTTGAAGCCACATCTCGTGTCACTAGACGCTTGGGCGTGAAGAGGGGGTCCGATCTTGGAGTGAAGGCTGCCTACTACTTTACTACTACGCTCCTTCATCATACTACGCTCCTTCATCATGAATAATGACAATATGCAATATATATACATAGATGCCCCGGGCGCGGGTCGAGGGCGTAGCCGAGCTTGCGGTAGGGAGGCGGGGAGGTAGGAGGTGGGGTGGGGGGTCCTTGTGTGTCGCTCGAGGATTCCTTCGTCGACCGTCCGCACGTCCGCGCAGCGTCGAGGCGCTAACACGAGTACGGTCAGTGGAGTACGTATATCTCCCGATATCTCCCCATATCACGAGGCCCAGATGCGGAGGGACAGAGACCCGTGCGTCCCGACTTAGCACTCGAGGAGAGGCGTGACGAGGCGGATGCTCTCACTGCAAACCGGGCCCCGCCCGTGTGGCGTGCGATGCTCTCCCTGCCGCTCCCTGACGCCGGTGTCTCGCCTTCCGGCAGGCGCGTCGCCGTGATCGCTGGAGTGGGTCGCGCGGCTACCCCACCCGCCCACCCGCTCTCTCCCACTTACACCGCGGCTGCTGCCACACGGCGGTTCGTGGCGCATTGCGTGTCCACATGCAGCTCCGCTCCAACATGCAGCTCGTCCGACGTCGCCCGTGCGGGCCCGCCACTTGTTCCTCGTGTGTTCTGTTCCTCACGCCGCGCCCTCTGTCGCCTCGTCTGGACTGCGGCGCCTCCCCGGGCGAGCAGGCGCCGCCGGACGCGGCGTTGACATAACCGGGGGCCGCAGACTCGTTCTGCGCGCCAACGGCTGGTGACGCTGTGTTGCCCTTGAGCTAGTCCTTCCCCGGTCGCCTAGCCTCTGCGCTGTCTGGCGAACGCCTGTATGCCATGCGCGCGGACCACGCTTGCGTGGATACGTGGCTGGCAGGCTGACCCGTGTGCGGGGTAACCCGCGCACGGGGAAGCTTCACGGGTTCGAGTCGTCAAACACTAAGCAGCGGAGGTGTGCCGAGGGTGCGTTGCTGCCGTGGTCGTCGACCGAGTCGTTCTCCGCCGCGCAGGGACACTGCTTTGAAATGAGTGTGAGTCTGTGTGTGTCATCGGCAGAGGCCGCAACAACACCGTGGCGTCGCGGAACGGCACGCGGCACGCCGAGCTCGAGGCGATCGACCGGATGCTCGACGTCGACGGCGTGCCGCCCGAGTCGGTCGCCGAGTGCACGCTGTACGTCACCGTCGAGCCGTGCCTGATGTGCGCGTCGGCGCTGCCGGGCAGCTGGGCCTGCGCGTGTCGCGCGTGGTGTTCGGCGCGGCGAACGACAAGTTTGGCGGCTGCGGCTCCGTCCTCTCCCTGCACGCCGACGGCGGAGCGAGCGCCGCTGGCGACCCGCCCTACCCCGCCGTGGGCGGCGTGAGGAAGGCAGAGGCGGTGGCGCTGCTGCGGCTCTTTTACGCGCAGGAGAACCAGAATGCGCCGCAGCCGCAGAAGCGCACGCGCAAGCAGCTCGAGCTCGGCGCCGAGGCGGCGAGGGAAACGCAGCGCCTGCCCGGGAGCGAGCGGGGAGGGAGAGAACCAGACTCGTAGTGCACAGGTTTGTGCAAAATTGTGGACGGAGAAACACTGTACAAAGCCGTAAAGCCGTAGGGTGGCGCCGCTCTAGCACACGCCGCTAGGGCCTCTTGCTCGGGCCTCTGGCTCCTTTGGGCCTAGTAAAAAATACCCAGAACCAGGGGTGTGAATGGGAGGTGCACACGCGCACGGCTGCTCCTGACCGACCTCTGTGACTGTGATCGGATGTGTATGTACAAAGCCGTGCCACATGCATCATGCTCCGGCGACATGGGCCGTCGCCTCCTAGGTCGCCTCGCGCCGCCACCGTTCCTCGTCCCGCGCGCTCCCCGGCCCCCCCTCCGCGCGTGCAGACGTCTAGGCACACGCAAATGGTCACGCCGCCTCGCGCGTCCTCTCACCGTCCCGGCGCCCACACCTCGATCTTCTTTGGCAGCAGCTGGTTAGACAGGTCCGATCCGTGGCCTAGGCAGCCTCTTTCGCCCCTACCCCAGGTAAACACGGCGCCGTCGGCGGTGGTAGCGAGGCTGTGGCCGCTTCCCGCCGACACAGCGCCGACGCGCCGGCCAGCAAACGCCTCGACCTTCTTGGGCAGCAGCTGGCGCTGCTGGTCGCCGTGGCCCAACTGGCCGCTCCCTCCAAAGCCCCAGCTCCAGAGGGCGCCGTCGGCGGTGATGGAGAGGCTGTGGCTGCTCCCAGCCGAAACAGCGACGACACGCCGGCCAGCAAAGGCCTCGATCTTCTTGGGCAGCTGCTGCTCGTGCGGGTCGCCGTGGCCCAGCCGGCCTTGGCCTCCAAAGCCCCAGCTCCAGACAACGCCGTCGGCAGAGATGGCGAGGCTGTGGACACCTCCAGCCGACACAGCGACGACGCGCTGGTCAGCCAAGGCCTCGATCTTCTTGGGCTGCAGCTGGCGCTGCGTGTTGCCGTGGCCCAGCTTGTAAGAGCCTCCACTGCCCCAGCTCCAGACGGAGCCGTCGGCGGTGAGGGCGAGGCTGTGGATACGTCCAGCCGACACAGCGGCAACGCGCCGACCCGCCAAGGCCTCGACCATCTTGGGCAGCAGCTGCTGCCGCTGCTCGCCGTGGCCAAGCTGGCCGTGGCCTCCATCGCCCCAGCTCCAGACAGCGCCGTTAGCGGTGAGGGCGATGCTGTGGCCGCCTCCAGCAGACACAGCGACAACGCGCTGGCCAGCAAAGGCCTCGACCTTCTTCGGCAGCAGCTGGTTCTGCAGGTCGCCGTGGCCCAGCCCGCCCAAGCCTCCAAAGCCCCAGCTCCAGAGGGCGCCGTCGGCGGAGAGGGCGAGGCTGTGGTAAACTCCTGCCGACACGCTGACGGCACGTTGGCCGCCCAGCGGAGGGAGGCAGGTCGGCGCGTCGAGCCGCGTCACGCCCTCGCCGTGCCCGAGTAGTCCCGGCGTCCAGTTCTCAGCCTTGCCGCACGACGAGAGCCGCCCCTCGCCGTCGATGAAGAGGCTGTGATAAGTGCTTGCCGCTGCCCTCGCCGGCGGGTTGGACTCGCACAGCAGCGCAGCGAAGCACAGCCACCGCACGGCGCAGCTCTCGCCCTCTGGCAGCGCCGGCAGCTCGAAGCCGCGCTCTTGCGCCCACAAGCGGATGGCCTCCACCGCAAGCGAGGCGTGGAAGAGCAGCGAGACGGCCGCGACGCGAGCGATGTCGGCGGGGTCGCAGCGAGAGAGGGCACGCAAGATGAGGTCCGAGGGGAGATCGAGGAGGCGGGCGGGCGGCGGCGTGTCTCGCGCGGGCGCGGCGGTGGAGGCGGCGGGGGCGAGGCGGCGCGAGCGGCGCGGCGGGGCAGACATCGCGAGAAAAAGAAATTTTTCTGGGCTAGCGGTAGCGTGGGGGTATAGGGTATGGGTATAAAATACCCTGCTCCAGCGCAGGGTGTGAATGGGAGGTGCACACGCGCACGGCTGCTCCTGACCGACCTCTGTGACTGTGATCGGATGTGTATGTACAAAGCCGTGCCACATGCATCCTGCTCCGGCGACATGGGCCGTCGCCTCCTAGGTCGCCTCGCGCCGCCACCGTTCCTCGTCCCGCGCGCTCCCCAGCCCCCCCTCCGCGCGTGCAGACGTCTAGGCACTACGCGAAGGTCACGCCGCCTCGCGCGTCCTCTCACCGTCCCGGAGCCCACACCTCGATCTTCTTGGGCAGCAGCTGGTTCGACAGGTCCTCTCCGTGGCCTAGGCAGCCGTACTCGCCGCCCTTGCCCCAGGAAAAGACGGCGTCGTCGGCCGTGAGGGCAAGGCTGAGCCATGTTCCAGCCGACACAGCGACGACGCGCCGGCCAGCAAAGGCCTCGATCTTCTTCGGCAGCTGCTGCTCATGCGGGTCGCCGTGGCCCAACTGGCCTTGCCCTCCCTGGCCCCAGCTCCAGACGTTGCCGTCGGCGGAGAGGGCGAGGCTGTGGCTGCTCCCAGCCGACACAGCGACGTCGCGCCGCCCAGACAAGGCCTCAACCTTCTTGGGCAGCAGCTGGTCCTGCCGGTCGCCGTGGCCCAACTGGCCGCAGTCTCCACAACCCCAGCTCCAAACAGCGCTGTCGGCGGTGATGGCGAGGTTGTGGTCGCACCCAGCCGAGACAGCGATGACGCGCTGGCCAGCGAAGGCCTCGACCGTCTTGGGCAGCAGCTGGTCCTGCTCGTCGCCGTGGCCTAGCCGGCCCCTGCCTCCAGAGCCCCAGCTCCAGACGGCTCCGTCGGCGGTGATGGCGAGGCTGTGGCTGCCTCCCGCCGAGACCGCGGCAACGCGCTGGCCAGCAAAGGCCTCGACCTGCTTCGGCAGGAGCTGGTGCTGCTCATCGCCGTGGCCCAACTGGCCGTCGTCTCCATCGCCCCAGCTCCAGAGAGCTCCGTCGGCAGTGATGGCGAGGCTGTGGAAGTATCCAGCCGAGACAGCGACGACGCGCCGCCCAGACAAGGCCTCGATCTTCTTGGGCAGCTGCTGCTCCTGCTGGTCGCCGTGGCCCAACTGGCCATAGCCTCCATCACCCCAGCTCCAGACGGCGCCGTCGGCGGTGAGGGCGAGGCTGTGGGAATCTCCAACCAACACGCTCACGGCGCACTCGCCGCCCAGCGTCGACGGGAGGCGGGTCGGCGTGTTGAGCCGCAGCACGCCCTCGCCGTGACCGAGAAGGCCAGGAAGGTCCACCGCGTCGTCCTCGTCGTCCTCCTCGCCTCCCTGTGCCGAGCCGCACGACGAGAGCCGCCCCTCGCCGTCAATGAAAACGCTGTGCTGCATGCCTGCCGCCGCCCTCGCCGGCGGGTTGGACTCGCACAGCAGCGCCATAAAGCACAGCCACCGCACGGCGCAGCTCTCGTCCTCTGGCAGCGCCGGCAGCTCGAAGCCGCGCTCCTGCGCCCACAAGCGGATGGCCTCCACCGCAAGCGAGGCGTGGAAGAGGAGCGAGACGGCCGCGACGCGAGCGATGTCGGCGGGGTCGCAGCGAGAGAGGGCGCGCACGAGGAGCTCCGTGGGGAGATCGAGGAGGCGAATTGGCGGCGGCGTGTCTGGCGAGGGCGCGGCGGTGGCGGCGGGGGCGAGGCGGCGCGAGCGGCGGCGCGGCGAACCAGACATCGCGAGAAAAAGAATTTTACAACAAAACTCCCTCGCACGACACTGGGCACAGGACTGGGCACGGGACTGGCTCGCACTGGCACTAACACAGGTACACCAGAGAAAAAGAAAAGCGGCCACCACCAGCAGTCTGAGTGGTTCTCGAGGTTCTCGAGGTGGATATCCTTTGGCCGCGTTGGGTAGTCTAGTACGTCTTGTGTGTGTGCGCGCCGAACAGCTGGTCCTGCGCCGTAGTCTTGTGTGCGCGCCGCGAGGATTAGACACGCAGCAGTTCAAACAAAGACTCGTTGTCTGGGGTGTTGCATAGGCGGGGAGTCTCCCCCGCTGGTCTCCTCCTTCGCATTTTTTCTTTTCTTTTGAGAGCAGAACGCCGGGTTTGTCTTGTATGTGCGTGTCGGGCCTGGGTGAGTGCGCGGAGCGGGGAGGGGCGGGGGCGTGCGGGGCAGAAGCTTAACGTCGGTCGGGGCTTGGGACCGGGAGGCGGTAAGCCGTCGTCGCCCGGCGCTGCTTGCAGCACCATGGCGATGGCGCTAAGAGGTCCCCCCCTCACGGCGCTAAGGGGGGGAGGGGTGCCTTCGCCCGACCGGCTGACCCGTTATGCGTTACGGCTTTAAGCGTTATACTAAAGAAAAAGAGAGCTGAGAGCAGAGAGCACTGAGGATTACGGCTTTATCATGCACATGGCTGCCACATCTGAATTCATCTGTGTGGACATGCTGTTTGAAAATTTCCCACACGTACTCCACTGGCGTACTCGTGTTAGCGCCTCGACGCTGCGCGGACGTGCGGACGGTCGACGAAGGAATCGTCGATCCTACCTCCCCCCCCCACCCGCCCACCCGCTCTCTCCCACTTACACCGCGGCTGCTGCCACACGGCGGCTCGTGGCGCATTGCGTGTCCACATGCAGCTCCGCTCCAACATGCAGCTCGCCCGACGTCGCCCGAGCGGGCCCGCCACTTGTTCCTCGTGTGTTCTGTTCCTCACGCCGCGCCCTCTGTCGCCTCGTCTGCGGCGCCTCCGGGCGAGCAGGCGCCGCCGGACGCGGCGTTGGAAGCCTCCACCGAGGCCGACGGTGCGGTCGCGAGGCAGAGCGTGTTGGCAGAGGTGCGGGGCGGAGTCGAGCCCACCTTTTCATCCACCACCTTTGGCTCCGCCTTCACCACGGCGCGGCAGCGCAGCAGATGAGTGACGTCCCCCTGCGTGCCCTCGGGCCCGCAGATCATCATCAGCGGCACGAGCATCGTGAACGAGTAGATGACGCCCCAGAGGGCGACGAAGAAGATGAACCAGCCCATCTTGACGTAGAAGAGGAAGGAGGCGAAGAGGAGAGGGACGGCGGCGCCGATGGTCGTGCCCGCGCCGCTGAGCACCGAGATGCCCATGCCTTGCACCGCCTCGGACGCCTTCTCCTGCCGCCCGCCGTGGGCCTCGTTGTACGCGTGCGCCATGTGCACCGCGTAGTCGATGGCCATGCCGATGACCATGATGATGAGGACGCACGCGCCCGCGTCGATGTCGTACCCGACCAGCAGCACCGAGGCGATGACGGAGGACATCACCGAGCCGATGGTCAGCTGGAGGCGGAGACGGGAGGTGAGGTCAACTTCTCCACACGCACGAGGTGGTGGGGCAATCGGCCAGGCAGCCCAGCGGTAATCTCGGGCCATCTCGGGTAATCTAGGGCAATCTGGGCTATAATAGCTCGGCTACAGTCGTCGGGTCTGCAGCTTAGCGATTGGCTCGCGGGTGCTTCTAGGATGCCGGTTCCTGGTTGGGTGCTGGTGCTGGTGCTTTTCACTGTGTGTCTCAGTGAGAGTGAGTTCCCGTCGCCCCCGTCCCTGTCTGGAGTTCAAGCCACGTCTCCTGTCGCCAGTCGCTTAGGCGTGGAGAGGGGTCCCTCTTGGAGTGAAGAGTTGGGGGGCCTGCTCTGGTGCTCGCAGGTGCTACTGCTGGTGCTCGTGCTAGCTGCACCGTGGCGAGCGCCGCCATAATCCAGTTGGCCGAAGAGAGCAGCACGACCGCGAACGCGACGAAGAGCGAGACGACGATGCCCTTGATGGCGGTGTTCATGCAGACCTCGAGCAGCCACCACAGGTAGTGGATGTTGCCCAGGTCGGTGGCGAAGCAGAAGTCCTAGGTGAGGTGAGAGAAGGTGAGGGTAAGGTGAGCTTCTCCCCGCACACACAAAGAGTGGTGGGGCAGGGGGGGGGGGGGGGGGGGGCAACCCTCGCATCTCCACACCCATCCAGGCAGGAGCCCCACGGCACACACTGTGCAAGGCCCGGTGCGCGTGGGTGAGCAGAAGTCCTGCTCGCCGTCGCCGCCGCACTCGGCGCCCACGATGCTCTTCCAGTCGTCGACGGGGCCCTGCAGCACCGTGTCGATAAACTCGATGTTGGCGGGGACGGTGGTGTTGAAGGAGTGCCAGTAGGCCTGCGTTGACAATTATTCATCACTGATTATGATTTGTATCAGTGATCAGGAGGCCTAATGGGTATGATTTAGTATGCAGTAGGCCTTGATGACGTCGCCGCCCTCCACGACGAAACCCGCGTACAGCGCCCAGCCGTCCGTCGCCGAGAGGAGCGCGGCGTACGCGGGCGACGCGTAGAAGTCGACCAGCGCCGCCGCCAGCTCCGCCTCGGTGGCGTACGGGAAGGCGGAGGAGTTGGCGGCGCGCAGCTGGTTCAGGATGCAGTACGCCTCGCCGTTGCCGTCCGCACCCGTTCGGACGTACGCGGCGTAAGCAGCGCCCGCCACTCTGTCGCAGTCGTCGACAATCTTCTGCTGCAGCGCCGCGTCGAAGTCCACGCCGGCGTCGTACTTGACGTCGACGGCGAACCCGTCCTCGCCCTGCGCGAAGAGCAGCCAGTTGTACGGGTACCGGGACGCCTTCTCCTCGAAGCCGTAGCACATGGTCATCTTGAACACCACGTCCGAGGTGAAGTGGTCCTTTGGGATGCCGCCGCCGCCGTAGCCCGCCAGAGCGAGCGGGTTGGAGTCGGCGAAGGTCTGCGTCTCTCCCGACTCCCACAGAACCGCCGTGACGGCGACAGAGGCGACGAGCGTCGCGAGGGCGACGGCGAGCACGTAGTAGCGCGCCTTGTAGATGCCGGGCGCGACCACCTCGCGCATGCCCTTGGTGAGGCGCCCCTCCTAGACGAGACACGGCCGAGAGATGGCCGAGATGACCCGAGATTACCCCTTGGTGAGGCGACCCCCTCTCCTTGTGCTCGGCGCCGGCGTCGGGGCGCTCACACGAGCGAAGGCAGCCTGCAGTGTGAATGCAGCGAAGTGAGGGGTGTGAAGACGGTCTCGTGCAGTGTACTCAGAGCGCCGTGTGAGAACGGGGGGTGCGGCAGTGACACAGCTAAATACGGTCGATGAAGCGGAGTACGTGTCCTCTCGTGTCGAGCGAGAGCGCGAGCTGGGAAGGAAGAACATGAATGCGTATTCCGCTTCTAGGGATGGCAGCCGCACGGTCCTAGATGAGCAGAGATCACCCGAGATGAGCCGAGAGGAGCCGAGAGGAGCCGAGAGGAGCCGAGAGGAGCCGAAATGAGCCGAGAGGAGCCGAGAGGAGCCGAGAGGAGCTCGAGATTGGCCGAGATGACGAGATTGGCCGAGATAGCGAGCCTGTGTCGCACGCGAAGTAGGTTGCGTGCACGCAAGTGAGCGCGGGAAAGAGGGTGATGGCCTGGACACAACACCGTGCGATCCAAAAGAGACCGTGCACGTTGGCGAGGGCGGGGAGGGGGTGGTGGCCATGCAGTAGTTGACGGCGATCACGAGGGCGTTGAAGATGCCGAAGCACCAGAAGAAGGGGATCGAGCTGGCCATGTTGAGGAGCAGGCAGATCACCGTCGTCGCCGTCGTATTGAGCATGCCGCTCGCCGCGCGGTGGAAAGTCCACGCGTGCCGCTTGACTAGGTCGCCACGGAGCAGCGGCTGCGCGGCGCTCTCCTTCCACGTGTCCGACCAGACGAAGATGTCGTCTGCACCGATGCAGAGGATGAGAAAGATGGCCGAGATCTGGAACATGTCGATGTACTGCTGTTGGAAGACGCCGACCCAGAGCGCCATGCCGCCGAGGAAGGCGAGGAAGATTTGCAGCATCCCGGCGCAGGCGAGGAAGAGCGAGCCGACCATGAGCCAGATGAAGAGGAAGATGAAGATGACAGACACGGGCACGAGGGTGGTCAGGTCCTTAAATACGTACCGCAGGCCGTCCTCCCAGTAAGTCAACGGCAGCACGTTGATCGGCGAGTCGCGCGCAGGGCTCGTCGCGGCCTTCTTCGCGCCCGGCGCGGTCGCGCCCGCCGCGTCCATCCCGTCGTAGAAAGCGCCGCCCATGTCGTCGACAAAAGTCGAGTGGGCGTCCTCGAAATCGGTGTCGCTCAGCCAAGACGACGCCGCCGTGTACTTGGCCCTCGCGTATCGCGTGCCCCCCCACGTGCCGTTTCGGCACTCTTCGAACGCCGTCGTCGGCAGCAGTTCCTCGGCGATATCGGGCGCTGTGGCGCAACAGTCGAGGAAGCGCTTGGCCCACTGATCAATCGGGGTGAGCGAGCCGTTGCGCCAGTCGTACGTGCGCGACCGGCACGGCGAGATGCCTAATCATTACTTATTGATGATCGATCGTGTGTTGTTAATGGGTAATTAAGGATTAGGCACGAAGGGTTACCGTATCTGGTCGTGCCACTTACTTTTGCCCCTGCGGGACGGCAGAGGGTCAAGTTGTCTGTCTCGCAGAAGCCGGCCACGCAGCCGGCCTGAGGCCAGGATTCGAGCTGTTTGGGGGGTAGGGTAGGGGGGGGGCGCGGGGTCGGCCGACCTCGTGAGCTTCGTCCGAGACGTAGAGGTAGTTGAGCAGCGTCTTTGGCGACTCGCACTGTGCGCTGCCGTCGGTGAAACTTATTACTTTTGTGCAGTGCGTCGTCCAGTCGCGCACCGCCAGCACGAACTCCTCCGCGCGCGCCATCGCGCTGACCTTGTCCGCAGAGTCAAAGAGGTTGCCTCCGTCAAACGCGTCATAGGTGTAAGCTGACTCCATGTAGGTGGTGTTGTCGGCCGCGAAGCTGCGCGACTCGTACCGGTTCTCGGGCTTGGACGCCTCGGCAAACCCCTGAAACTGGAGGTTGGTCGTCGCCTTCTCGTCGGAGAAGACGAAGTTCATCATGATGCTGAAGTCTTTGAGGCCGAGCGCCATTAGCAGCGCGAGGACTATGTAGACGGCGAGCCACGAGAAGCACATGCAGACCGGCCGTCCCGCGTTGAGCTTCGAGTACTTGCCAGGCTCGATGTCTGCGAATACGTTCGGGCGCGGGCGAGTCAGTGTGCAGGCGAGGCGGGCTGGCCCGGTGCACAGGCTCGGTGGCGACGCGCCGTCATCGCCCGCCTCGGACTTGATGGACAGCGACCGCGTGGACAGCCATTCTTTGTGACGCTTCCGAAGCGTCGGCGTGGTGGGTCGTAGGCAAGAGTAACCCATGAGCAAAGAGGCGGTAGAGGCGAGCTCCGCCCCAAACGCAATCCCATCCCCACGCTCTCACCTTTGGGGACCCGCTGTGTGCGGGGCGGGCCCCTGCCCAGGGACGACGGCAAGAGACCCAAGGGTGAATCCACCCTTGTTCTCCGCCTGGGTTTGCGTGCGTGGGGGTGTGGTATGGTGAGGATCCTTTGGCGTTTCCCACGGCTAGCGTCTGGTGTCCAGTGTCAGCAGCGCGCACATCCTCGGAGAGTGGCCGCTATACGGGCTACGGGGCTGGGGGGGTCTATGAGTAGGAAGAAGAGCAAATGCTCGTTTTTCTCGTGCTCCCACCCGCAACTCCGACGTCCCCTGCCGCAAGTAGCAAGCGCCCACGTGCCGCCCGCGCCGCCGCGTCCCTTCCGGCACTCTTTGCCGAGCTCGAGCGGATAGATGGTGGCAACGAATAGCTACAGCCGCATGCAAGTCGGAAGTCAAGTCATCCTGAAGACGGGCAAGAGTCCCCGCATGAGAAGTGGCGACCCAGCACTCGTGGGCAAGCGTGCAACCATCGTCAATGGCATCGAAGGGGCTGCAACTCTCACGGTGCAAGTGCAAGGCATGCTCGAGTCCCCCATCACGTTGTACAGTGGGGTTGACAACCTTCGGATCGCGCTGTCCCCTCGAAGCGAGGTCCTTGCAAACGTGCAAGCGGTGCGCGAAGCAATGAGAGATCTTGATGCCTCGCTCGAACCATTCGACGCTGCACGCAACTATCCGCACGTGGACGAGATACAGAGGCTGTGGGAGGGTTTGCGCCGGTGGGTGGAGTGGAGGAGGTAACGTGCTGTCGCGACGCCGTGAGGGGTCGCAGGGGAGGCTGGCGCGTGACAGCGCTGCTCGGCCCGTCGCGGCGTCCCGGGCGGCGGCGGGTCTGATCTCGCGGCACACTCTCGGAGAGCGTTCACCCGCATGGCTCGCGTATCTTTATCTCGCGTTCTTTGCTGCGACGGCAAAAATGACGGCAATACTGACTTGTTTGCGGTTCGCGCCGAGTGGAGGGGGCGCACATGGCGACGTGCCGTGGAACTACAGCCGCACCTCGCTAGCCTCTATCGCCTCCCTCGGCACGCTGCGGATCAGCGTCTGCCAGTGGGATTTCCGTCGCTCGGCTGTCCTGTCGGGGCGGCCGCGACGCCCTCGGCCGGAGCGGCGGCAGCCACCCCACTCGCTGCCTCGCCACCGGCAGCGGGCTGCCGCGGAGGCATCGTGCCCTGCCCGACCGCAGGCTTTATGCCGGCGGAGCCGGCGGATGCATGCACTCCCGCCTCGGCCGCGAGCATCACGCCGCCCGCCGGGGTCACCATCCCAGCGATCTCAACCGCCTGGATGGCCGCCCGAAGCGACGAGCAGACGGCTTGCCCCGCCTCATCGCCGTAGCGGTGGGTAGCCACGCTGTCGGCCGCATCCACGCTGTCGATGGCCATGGCCCGCCCCGCCTTCTCGAGGGCCTATATGCCACTCGTCGGCGCGAGTGAGAGCGGGGTGGGCATTCGGCACCCCCTCTGCCTGCGCGCTGAGGAGGGCCTCGCCAACAGAGAGGAGGCCCGTGCCAAAGGCCGCCAGCGGCGACTTGACGCTGCGCAGCGCCTTGTCCCGGCGCGAGGGCAGCCGCAGCTGCTGGCTGGCCCGCGCGCGCTGCCTCGCCCGCTGCCGCCGCCCCTCGGACACGCGGCTGGCACGCCGACCCACCATGCCGCCAGCATAGTTGATGCCTTCCATCGCCTGGGCACGCGGGAAGGTTTGTCAAGTTCGGCTTTGGGGAGACCGGACAGACATGAGTTGGGGAGGGGGGAGGGGGGGGGGGGGGGGGGCGTGCGCCGTGCGTCCCGCTCTTGCGGCTGCGCTCTCTTGCCCAGCCACACGGCTCTAGCTTATTCTTCATCATGAAGGTGTAATTATCATCTCGTCTCTGGAGAGAGCCACATACACCACATTGAGCCACACCCACAGCACACGCCACGCACCGCATCCCGCTCAACCCCTTACCCCTCTCACTCAAGGGGGGCGAAAACGAAATATCAGGCTGTCTTGACCGCTGGGCCGCCATTGAGCAGTGAGTGTTTGTTGGGGGCGTGAGCACGCAGGACATCGAGACCCTCCACCCTTTGTGGCTTGGGTCTGCACCGCACTGATGGATCCCGGCGCGCAGCTGCAATCTGTACTGAGTGACGGCGTGGCCATGCTGTCCGGCATGCAGCCTCCGCCTGTCATTGCTTTTCACAGCCTTGTCATGAGGCCTCCGTTGAGTGAAAGACGAAAGGCTGTCGGTAGCCGGTAGGGCAGCCCATCCATGCCCCGGAAGCGAGTGAGTTTAATCCACATACAGCTGCTGTTAACGGCGGCTTGCTCTTCCTCGGCGCCGCCCTTCTTCCCGCTCACGCTTCTCCTGCTGGCGGATCGCTGCGAGGCGGCGGGCACAGCCTGCGACAACAACGTGCCATGCTCTTCTGGATGCCCTACCGGCGAGTATGGCACATCGCTGTGCGACGGCACCTTCACGGGCACCAGGGTGGATCTGGACAACCAAGAGCTGTCGGGCACCATCCCTCCGCAGCTGGGTGACAACTCGCAGCTGCGGGAACTTTACCTAGACGGCAACGCCGTCTCGGGCACCATCCCTGCGGATATGCGCAGACTCTGGCAGCTGCAGAATCTTTACCTGCACGGCAACTCAATCTCGGGCACCATCCCTGAGACGGACAAGTGGTGGCAGCTGAAGGAACTCTACCTGTACAACAATGACATCTCCGGAACGGTGCCGTCGCAGCTCAAGGACCTGCCTCTGAAGTACTGCAAGCTGGGCGGCACCAACCATTTCGCCTGCCCCCTGCCCGCCCTTCCCGATATCTGCATCTCGGGCTCGTACTACCCGACGGAGTGCAACTACCCGCCGCCCCAGCCGCCGCCATCTCCCTCTCCGCCCCCGCCCCCGCCCTCGCCGCCCCCGCCCTCGCCGCCCCGTCCCTCGCCGCCCCCTCCCTCGCCGCCCCCTCCCTCGCCGCCACCTCCCTCGCCGCCACCACCCTGGCCGCCGCCGCTCTCCCCGCCGCCCCCTCCCTCGCCGCCACCTCCCTCGCCGCCACCACCCTGGCCGCCGCCGCTCTCTCCGCCCCCTCCATCGCCGCCCCCACCAAGCCCACTACCGCCTTCCCCGCCACCATCGCCCCCACCAAGCCCACTACCGCCTTCCCCGCCACCACCTCCTGCACCGCCGTCTCCGCCGCCGCCGCCGCCGCCGCCGCCGTCGCCGCCAGGGGTGACAAAGCCAAACCCACCGCCGCCGATGCCGCCCTGGCCGCCGGGGGAGCGGCCAGAACCTCCCCCGTCCCCGCTACCGCCGCCGCCACAGCCACCGCCCCCGCCGCCGCCGCCGCCGCCGCCTCTCTCGCCTCCAGCAACGCCGCCGCCGCCGCCGCCGCCGAAGCCGCCGCCGAAGCCGCCGCCTCTCTCGCCTCCAGCAACACCGCCGCCGCCGCCGCCGCCGCCTCTCTCGCCTCCAGCAACGCCGCCGCCGCCGCCGCCGCCGCCGCCGCCGCTCGCCCCATCCCCACCCGTCTACGCCCTCGGCGACTCGCTAAAGCTAAACTTGGACGACCGAAACCGGACATCCACTCCGAGTGCTCCCCCCCCCCTCCTTCGCGATCACGTGGTAAAGGCGGGCCGAGCCATCCTCGCCAAGTCCCCGCTGGAGTTGGCGCTGGGAGTAGCCGGGTGGCTGCTCTTCCTGGCGCTCTGCTTCTCCCGCTGCTGCTGCCGGCGGCGCGAGCCGCCTCGCAAGCGGCTCGTGGAGCCCGACGAGGAGGAGGCGGGGGACGGCAAGCCGAGTCCGCGGCGGCCGAAGCGCCGCTCAGATGCCATGCCGTTCTTGCACGCCAACCGGTCCGCAGCGGAGCTGGAGCTGGCGGAGCAGGTGGCGGAGCTGGAGCGGCGCCTCTCCGTGAGCAAGGCCACAGAACTGGCGGAGCAGGTGGCGCACACAAACCGTCCCGCAGCGGAGCTGGAGCTGGAGGAGCAGGTGGCGGAGCTGGAGCGGCGCCTCTCCGTGACCGAGGCCACAGAACTGGCGGAGCAGGTGGCGCACACAGACCGGTCCGCAGCGGAGCTGGAGCTGGCGGAGCAGGTGGCGGAGCTGGAGCGGCGCCTCACCGTGAGCAAGGCCACAGAACTGGCGGAGCAGGTGGCGCACGAGCTGGCGGAGCAGGTGGCGGAGCTGGAGCGGCGTGATCCGTGAATGTATTTTCTTCTCGCAATAACCGCAAGCGGTATACCCTAATAAGTAATATAGTATACGGTCTGTGAAAAAATGAGTTTGCTCCGCGCCTCCGGCGCACCCCACGACGATGGTTCGATGCGATGACTACCAATCGAAAATCGAATGCTGCCATGGCGCATGCATCAAACACCTCACGTCCGCACAGCACACGCGAGCACACAGACAGCACATGCACAGCCGCCTCAACAGACACGCACGCACACAGCACACGCACCACCCGCACCCCTGTTGCCCCGTACTGACGTACCGCAAGAAATGCGACTGACCCTGAAGGGGTCGTACTGGCTGGTGAGATGCCGATCACATAAATAGGGTGCGCCCGACACCCGCAACGCGAGTTGCTTGTGCGGGTGTGAGCGGCTACCGGCCTCGGGCGCGCCCCCCTCCTCCCCGCCACGAGCCTCTGCTCGCGCACGAGCAGCGGGCGCCGGGGCCCGTGGCCCCGTGGAGCAGCCTCAGAGGCTCGTGACGACGGTGTTGTACACGCAGACCGGGATCAGCACCAGCCCGATGGCGAGCAACAGTGCCGCCGCGAGCTTGCGTCTGGGCACGGAGGACGACTGGGCGGTCCGCGTGGGCACGCGCCGCAGCAGCAGGTACGACGCCGCGGGAAGGACGTACGAGAGCAGCACGCCGCACGTCGAGCCGAGGAAGCCCCACACGACGGACACGTCGTCCACGCTGGCGGTGCAGGCGAGCGAGAGGCCCATGATGCAGGAGGAGAGGACGACGCGCGTGGCGAGCGGCAGGTCACCCACCTCCTCTTTCACCCGGAACACCTCCCCGACGCTCGAGCCGCCCACGCTCGAGCCGCAGCTCGTCGCGAGCGGGTGCGACGGGCGGATCGACGGGGCAGCCTGCTGCGCCGCCGGCCCGCCCGCCCGCTCGTCGTCGTCCCACGAGTCGTAATCGCCGTGGTCGGCGCCGTCCGCGTCGGCGGCCGCCTCGCTGCCCAGGAGCCGCGCCCCGAGCAGCGGCGAGAGCCTCGAGAGAGCCGAGCGGACGGGCGAGCAGCACCAGAGCCGGCAACCTGGAGGAGGGAGGCGGTGGAGGCGGTGGAGGCGGTGGAGGGGGGTGGAGGCAGTGGAGGGGGGTGGAGGCAGTGGAGGGGGGTGGAGGCAGTGGAGGGGGGTGGAGGCGGTGGACGGGGGTGGCACCGCTCGGCGGGAAGGCGGGCGGTGGCGGGGGCGGTGGCGGTGGCGGGGGGCGGGGGGCGGTGGCGGGGGCGGGGGCGGGGGCGGGGGCGGAGGCTGGGGGTGGAGGAGGAGGGGAGGGGGGTGGCAAGGGCGGTGCGGCGGTGCCGTGGAGCAGCTGGTGGATCATGTTGCGGCACGGCAGGCAGATGAGCGGGAGGGAGAGGAGGAGGACGACCGAGAGGAGGAGGCGCAGCAGCGACGCGAGCCCGTCACCCTCCGGGAACATCGCCAGCACGTTGGACGTGACCGGCTGCTCCGTGCAGCGCCCGTACGCGATACCCGCGAGGCCTGCCACCTTGATGGTGGGGGCAGGGGCGGGCGTTAGGCCGGCGAGACCGGGGCGAGGGGAGGAGGTGGTGGTGGTGGTGGTGTGGTGGTGGTGGTGGTGGTGGTGGTGGTGGTGTGTGTGTGTGGGGGGGGGGGGGGGGGGGGCTGTCGCCTCAGCCGCAGAGCGGCTGGGCGGTGCCGAGCGAGGCTCTACCCGCCCCGTGGCGCGGATGTGGCGAGGGCGGAGGAGGCTCTCCTCTCTCCAGGGGTGTGGTCCTCACCGCGTAGAGTGCAAAGGCGATGGAGAAGGCACCGACCACCATCGTGGTCATGCGCCTGCGTGACGGCTTGCGCAGCTCGGTGTCGAGCGGCAGCGCCGAGAAGCTGCAGATGAAGATGCAGACGAAGACGGGCAGCGCGGAGATGACGTCAGCGGCGGCGGGCGGCGCGGGGGCGCCAGTCACGACAACCGCCGATTGGTTGCTGGTCAGGCTCTCGGGGGGCGCGGGGCAGGAGAGGCCCTCGTAGGCGAGCACGCCGACGAGGCCGACCACACTCGTGACGGAGAGGAGCGACACGTGCCGCAGCGAGTTGAGGGTCGTCATGAAGGTGAGAGGCACCACCGCAAGGACGAGGCACGAGCCGAGCAGGACCTGCTCCGACCGCGCCATCGGCCGGCCCAGCACAAACTGGGAGGCGAGCGGCGCCGCCAGCTGGCGGAGGAGGAGCGAGTTGGCGACGAGCGTGAGGAAACACGTGATGACGACCGACCACACGGTCAGCGCCCGCGCCCAAGGCCCAAGTGCCGCCTCGAGCACCTCGTCGAACGTGCGCAGCCCGCCGGCGCGGCGTGCTCCGCCGAGAAGGAAGTGCACGCCCATCCCGCTCAGCGTCGCGGACGCGGTCAGGATCGCGAGGCCGAGTGCGAGGCCGCTCTTGGCCATCGCCCACGGTATGGAGAGCGAGCCGCCGCCGCAGATGATGGAGACGAGCGCAAGGATGCCGTGGCTCACCTCGCCGCGGCGGTGAGCACTGTGGTAGCCGCCGACGAAGACGTCTTGCTGGGAGAGGGCGAGGCGCATGGCGAGCGAGGAGGTGGCAGTAGCGGCGGAGGCAGAGGGAGTCACTCGCTGAGCGGGACGATAGCGGGAAGCTCCGGCCTTGTCGACGTGATAGGAGTTCACACTCACACCTCTTTACCAACCCAAGGGAGGGATGGGAGGACGGCACGCCGCCACCACACCTATAGGAGAAGAATTCTACGAAAAGTCCCTCTCACAGCAGACTCAACTCGCATACGCTCACCCATAGAATTGTCACCGCCAGTGAGTGCGAGATAGGGCTAGCGGCTGGCGGCTTTCTTCTAGCCCCTGAGGAGAGTGACCAGAGACACCTCACATGACCCCACACACGGTCTAGTCCGGCCTCGCGGTCGGCGGAGATTGCTAGAGGACGAGCAAGCCTGCTCTAGCCTCACGCGTTCTCCCCTGTCGTCTGTTGTGTTGTTGTGCCCTTGTTTGTTCTCGTGGCACCTTGGAGTGCTGGGGGGGGGCGACAGGGAGGATGTGGCCTTGAGTTATGTGTACGCCAACTCAGGGTGTGTGGCAGCCAGCTGGCTGTGTGTCTTGTGAGCTTGTTTGTGTCTGTGTGTCGTTCGTGCGTGTCGTCATCATCTGTCCCGCGTCCACCCATACGGCTTTACCGCGTTGGTGTCCAGTCTGAGCCCGACTGTTGTTCATCTTTCTACATACATACATAGGTCATAGCAGACTGGCGAAGAGAAGAAACATTCTAGGATTTTGTTTTTTCTTGTCGAAGTTGTCTCCGTTTCTTACAAACAAGAAGCCGCAAAAAAACAAATGCAGTCCAACACCACCAAGCGAGAGCGGAAGCGGAGCGAGATCCTGGGGGGTTGGCTGCCACGAAGAAAACAGGACCAAAGCAGTCATCATGTCATCGCACCACCACCCTTGGCAGCACAAAGCCGCGCCAGATGTCCGCCAGCTCTGGAGCCGCTCCCTCGCGGCTGTCGAAGCGCTCCTCGTCCCAGGCGATCAGGTAGCCCAGCCGCATCACCTCGACCGCCCGCTTGCGAGCCGCTGTCGGGAAGAGCTCGTGCGACTGCGGCGACCACTCCGCCGCCTTGAGGATGAGCCTGCCCACCTCCACCGCCTCGGCCGCTGGCTCCAGGCTGGCCGGCCTGAGGGAGGGCAGAGGCGTGGGGTGTGTCCAAAGAGAGGATCCGGCGAGTCGGGGAGAGACCATTTCAGTGCGCGCCTCAGTGCGAGTGCCTTGGCCTCGCCCGCCACGCGCACGCCGAAGCGGCCCGTCGAAGCGTTGGCGGAGACGACGACGCCGACCTTGCCGTTCATCGAGGGCCGCGAGACGAGAGAGCGGATCTCGACTGTAGAACCGACGGCCGCAGCGGTCGGATCCGACTCGCTCCACGAGCAGAGTAGGCGCGCCCGCTCGAGGGCAGAAGGCGCGCCGGCGAGCGGGTCGGCGCCGCCGCGCAGCAGCGCCCGCGCCCGCTCGACGGTGAGCGCCTGCGGAAGAGGGACAATGGGCGTGAGGACAGCGCGCTCACGCCTTCGGCCGCTAGTCTCGGGCACGCCTCGAGATGCTGGAGCGGCGTCCAGCCGCGGCTGGCGACCAGCCAGGCGGCGAGGTCGGCGTGGCCTTCTTCGGTTGCAACCTCCTCGGGCGTGCCGAAGGGCGTAGCGGCGCGGGAGGCGCCGTAGGAGGAGAGGAGCTTGACGACCTCGAGGTGGCCCTTGTAGCACGCGATGTACAGCGGCGTGGTGCCATCGTTCATCGCTTGGTCTATCGCCGCGCCAGCCTCGAGGAGCAGCCGGGCGCACTCGAGCTGGCCCTCCTGGCACGCCATGTACAGCGGAGTGACGCCTTCCACGTCTGCTTGGTCGATCGCCGCGCCAGCCTCGAGGAGCAGCCTGGCGATTTCGGGGTGGCTGTTTTGGCACGCAATGTACAGCGGCGTAATACCGTCGGAACTGGCTTGGTTGATCGCCGCGCTGGCCTCGAGAAGCAGCCGGGCGCACTCGAGGTGGCCGTACTCGCACGCGATGTACAGCGGCGTGGCGCCTGCCTCGTCCGCCTGGTCCATCGCGACGCCGGCCTCGAGAAGCAGCCGGGCGCACTCGAGCTGCCCCATCTCGCACGCGATGTACAGAGGCGTGGCGCCGTTCTGCCTGGCTTGGTTGACCGCTGCGCTCGCCTCGAGGAGCAGCCGCACGCACTCGAGGTGGTCCTCCTGGCTCGCTATGAACAGCGGCGTGGTACCCTCCTTGTCGGCCTGGCCGACTGAAGCGCTGGCCTCGAGAAGCAGCTGGGCGCACTCGAAATGCCCCTCCTGGCACGCAACGTACAGTGGCGTGAAGCCTTCAGCGTCTGCTTGGTTGACCGCGGCGCCAGCCTCGAGGAGCAGCCGAACGCAGCCGATCTCGCCAGCCAAGCTCGCAGCGCTCAGCGGCGTGAGGCCATCGTTCATGGCTTGGTCGGTCGCCGCGCCAACCTCGAGGAGCAGCCGGGCGCACTCGAGGTGGCCCTTGTCGCTCGCGACGAGCAGCGCTGAAGCGCCGCCGCCAGTCGTCGCCCCCACGCTCGCGCCGCCCTCGAGCAGCAGCCGGACCACCTCGGCCTGCCCGTGACGAGCGGCCCAGGTCAGCAGCGTGTCCTGCTTCTCGGTGTCGTGCCGCGCGTCGAGCTGGGCCGCGAGCGACGTGCCGCGCGTCCCCTGCCCAGACAGGAAGCCGCGCAGCCAGGCCAGGTCGCCCCGAGCCAGGTCGGCGAGCCGGGTTGGGAGGATGGCGCCGCTCATGTAAGCCAGAAAGAAGAAAATGAGCTCGGGCTTTCTTGCAACCCGATCCCAATCATCCGGCCCGCTGGGTGCGCTTCTTAGCTCCCCGGCCCTGGATGTGCGGTTACTGACTGCACTCCAAGTGCAAGGTTTTTGTTTTTTTGTTAATAATAATACTCACGCCTTGGGCGCTGGCCGGCACACCTAGGTAGAGGTCAGTAAGCTACAGACATGGGCCACTTACCTAAGGTGGAGGTAAAGGACACCGCGCGCTAAACGCTAAATAATAGGTAGGCGGGACAGGTGAGGTATGGGCGCCTCGCCGGACACACGCTCGCCCCTCCCTCCCGACGGCCCCGCCCGACACGCTACTCACCCATAGCAGCACCATGCCGGTGTGAACGTCTCAAGAGTACCCCAGGTTTGTGGAGGGTACCTCAGAGCTGCCGCAGGCCCCCCGCAGAGCACCGCACTGGCGGCTGCGCTCGCGGCTGGGCGGCTGCTGACCTGGGCGGGAGCGGGAGGCGCGGGACCCCACATGCCGCTTGCGGCTAGGGCGAGTATCATGTGATCGGCGACGTGTTTGCGGCGTAGCGCCACAATAAAATGACATTCTGCCCGATGATTCCTAGACCGAAGAATAAATCATGCTCTGAGGCGACTCTCAACAAGTCTCGCCACTGCCAACCAGCCACAACCTGTGCTGCAGCGCAACTAACTCGCTAACACTGGCTGACTGGACGCCGGCGATCGCCTCTGGGCCTGGGTTGTAGGAGCATGATGAAGCCAGCGGCAGAGACGGCAGCAGCAAACGCTATGCCCGGCAGGTCGCCGATGATATCTGCAACCAGTCTCTGGTACGGGTCCACCGGGTCACCGGTGACGCGTACGGCCGCACACGTGCCACCACGAGTGACGAACGAGCCGTACGCCTGGCACAACCGGCTCGACGGCAGCGAGAGTGCGGACCAGAGAATATGCATCGAAGGTTGAGAGTGCCAGTGGGGTGGACTCGGGTGGTGGGCACGGAATAAAGAGAGAAAAGATACCGAGAAGAAATTCAATCTGTCACATGACAAGCGATCCCACGTCAGTGATTGTGGGGACTACATGATTACACGAAGGGTGGGGGGGATAACGAAAAAATAGGCGCTGATTCTTTTTATGCCAGCCAGCGCGCGCCAGTCCCGTGCCTAGTGTCGTGCGAGAGAGTTCATGGCACGGTAAAATTCTTTCTCTAAATATCGCAGCCTTTCGAAGCCTTTGCTGCCTCGTTTGCATATGACTGTGTTAGTGCCAGTGCGCGCCAGTCCCGTGCCCAGTCCTGTGCCCAGTCCCTCTGTAAATATCGCACAGCCTGTGCATATGACGGCCGCCCGCCTGCTGCGCTCGTGCGGTGGCACCTTCGTAACCTTCCTGCTCTGGCCAGCACTCTGCTTGATTGCCTCTCCGTACTACGTTCTCGTTATCTCGCCATTTATCGCGCTCGGCCTCTGCAGCTCCGACGCTGCTGTCGGCGTGGGCGTCGCATTCCATATCTGATTCCGATGATGCTCTTCGTCGACCTGCCGATTGCTGTCTTATTTTTCGCGGCACAACTGATCGACCGCCCGCCTGCAGCCACCGGGTAGCCGCCGCTCTCTCGGCGTCGTGTAAAAGGCCTCGTCCCTCGAGGTCGGATGCGACGACCGCGCGCGCGAGCAGCTCCGTCTGGCTCTCCGAGTGCGAGCAGCTTGCGTATGAGCCGTTGTGCAGGTCCGCGCAGCGCCAGAGCAGTCGCAGGAGGAAGAGGCAGCGCCGACCGTCTCGCGAAAGCGCGGCGCGTCCTCGGAGCCAGTCGTGTCGAGGTAGCGCGCGGCCGCGTTGTTGCCGTCGGCGATGTCGTCCCATGGCGTCAGGCTGCCGCCATTGCACGTGTTATAGTCGAACGCCGCCTTTTCCCAGTAGCCGGCCGGGACCTTCTCTTGCCTATAATTAATGTACTTGAGTTGTAAAGAAAAGAACGAAAAACAAGATGGAACGGGGAGGTGCGTCGCTTCTTTATTCCTGTGTCGAGCCTGTCGCTGTGAGAGAGACTTCGCGCGATTAAATTCTTTATTCCGCGAACTCGGCCGTCCCTATTGTCCGGACCTTTTACGATGCCGATCGTGCTCGCGTTGCCCGCTGTCTTCTTCGTCGGGAGTGCGGTCGGCGCTGGTTTCGGCTCGGCGCTCGGCGTCGCCACGGGCGCGGCAGTGCTGCGCCGTCAGGGCCTCTTCTCGCCAG